TATATATACTTAACAAAAGAAGATGTCATACTGACTGTGAATTACCAAAAATATATTTCACAAATCGATTATATTTTGGATCTAATTATTATACAATTTAATGAATTTCCACCTCTTATTATTTTCTTTTTCTTTTTGTTTCAAACTTTTCCATGGAAAAAAAATACTTTGTAAAAAAGAAGGCTTTAATTTTGACAAAAGTATTATGCATGTATATATTAGTTACCCGTATTTTATTTGCAATGTAATATAGATTAAAGATGGAAAATTGAATGAAAACAATAAAAAAAAAGATTGACAATAAAGGTGGGTGGCTCCCACGAAAGACACAAAAAAGGACACAAATACATTGTGTAGCACAGCTCTCAACAAATGTAGTCCTGTAAATAAATGAATAAAGAAATTGTGTAATAAAATGTCTCTTTATTCATTTATTTATAGGACTACACTCGTTGAGAGCTATGCTACACGATGTATTATTTTGTCCTTTATTCGAACACTATATTTACCTTTCTTTGATAATTTAGGGCCTATATATAATTTAATATCAGACTATGCTGCGTAGCACTGAACATAGATAAATACACTGTTTCCAGCATTTAATTATATATATATATATATATATATATATATATGATATAAATTATAATAATCTTAAACGTTACCAACCCATTCGTCATGTTAATAGCTATTTTAGCATTTTTCGATAAATACGGTAAATCAGGACAACAATTACGTTCATCGCTTCTTATATTCATGTTGCACATTTCATGGTCACGTGATATCCAATGAAGAAAACCGTTTACATAGTCCAATACAGCACTCATCACTTCTATGTATATAACATACAAAATACAAATTAGTATAGGGCCTGTTATATAACACATTGATACAATTTAGTGTTTTTCATTTATTCACAGAAATTGTTTACCTGTTTATTTAAAGTTTTTTTTTCATAATAATTATAGTGCAGAGGTATTATTCTTGCGTTTCTTAATTGCCAGGAAAATTGTTTTCTCTTATGAATTTTCAACTGAAGCCGCATTTTAACATAATTCAACAATGTATTAAGCCATTAAAATAATCACAAAGAAAATACATAAACTATATATATCATTAATGTTAGCAGTATTCATATATCCTTTTTAAAAATCGACAACATAATATCACATTTTATGGATAAAAAGATATAACTACCATCTTTAACAACGGTCTCATTTTTTTCATAACCTTCGGTTTTCTGTCTGAAAATCCCTTGTTGATCGTTGTGAGTAAAATACACGTAGTCTTCTACCGGGTCGTATCCAAAAAACATTTTTTGTGAGTCAGTATTTGTTATCACTGGTTCCTCAAGCAGATTTTCTCCATCTATATAACTACTATACAAACTGCCATAATAATCGATATAGAGGCGCTCATCAGCTTAAAAATAAAAATATATATAATATTATTTTTTTACACTGTCTAAAGTATGAAACAACGATTATAGTATAAAAGTATTAATTCCTCCAAGAAAAATATTTTGTGGTCACCGCTGTTTGTTTGTCTGCCAGTCTGTATTTGAAAAATCTCATGAAAGACCTTGCACCATAATATTACAATCAAAATAGGATATGAACATTTTTTTAGCATTCGTAAGATCTTATCAATTAAGCATTACATGGCAACATAAAATGCGTAATATTTCATTATAGGACAGAAGGCCTATTAGGCGACACATTTTTACCTTCTTTAACGAACCCTCCGACCAGCCACATGAATAAAAATAAAATGTCTTACTTATTTTTATTACGCTCTTCATTAAAATCCCCAAAAATAAGATATATTTCTTCCTTAATTATATAAATCTTCTCCTCCGCCTAGATACTTTTGGTGAAATAATTTTCTAGTCTCCAATTAGTACATCCATCTATTGTAGTGTTAATGTTTTTCTCATTAATTATATTATATTCATTAAGCTTATATTTTATCTTGTTAGGTGTTCTACATGACAACGTGAAATGTATAACTTTTTTAATTTTCTAAAATATGATGGCATTTTTGGAGTTGATTTGGAGGCTATTAGAACTTACTTTTAAATTCTTATAGTTTCATTTCCTATTTAGTTTTCAAATTCTTTAACGATTAAGATAACTTGCTGGCCATTACTATCTCAATTAAAGTGGTTAGAAAATTTTTTTCTATTTAAATTTGTAACTTTTCTTTTATTGTTCGTGGTATGACCAAATAAGTTATGTCACAAAAATTATTGTATAGCGCTAAGTAAATTTGGCTCCGACTGAATTCCTAGTAAAAGTTTTCCAGGGCAGGTGGGTGCTAAACTTTCTAGTTAATTCAGTCTCCGTACCGAAAACCTTCGAAGGACTAATAAGATTTCCGTTTGAGACCTTGGGGCGCTAAAGGCCCTTCTTGCCTGAACATTAACAAACTGCTTTCTAGGGCCTCAAGATATGCTTGTGTACGCACTTATATCACAAGATCGCGTCGTCGGCTGCGAACGCCATTCCAATTTGCAGGGGCGTTGGAAGCTATTTTATTGGTCCGGCCAAATACTGTATACATAATCATCATTGCATTAACATGACTTCTTTTCATTAGTTTTGTTTTTGTCTATAGCTCAAAACACGCACTATTCTATTATATCAATCATTCATACTTGTACTAAATATATCATTTAACCATGGATTCATGCTTTATCGTTTAGGCCTATATTTGTCACCATGGGATTTCATAAATATTAACGTAGACCTACGAACAAGTAATAGTAGGCTAGTTAAACATTGCTTTAACAGTAGAAATGATATATTTTAAAATTATGTTTTACACTAGCTGGTATTACCATACGGCCTGCTCAGTATGTTGCGAAAATACTCTAAAAGAATTGACACGTATTCGTCTCGAACCAGGGCCATAGCTCAGCTACGGGTTGTACGCATGTATATCTGGCGGCCTTGCCCATGTCATAGTAATTCTTTTTTAATAAAAAAGTGTAAATCGATCAGTTGAATTGATCAGTTAAATTGATTAATAAATATCTATCAGTTAATAAGTATCTATTCAAAATTGCTGATTTTCCCTGGCGTTTGTCCTACCACCCAGACCGGGACTGTGTGTAGGGCCTGATTGGAACCCGTGTAGAAACGTACAGTAGGCCTATCTTATTCTAATATTGACCCTCCACTCAAAGTTGATGCCCCTGATTCTTATTGCTCTATTGAGTAATTATCACCTGGTAGATCTGTCCATGATGGGAATACCTACATACATTCTCCCCCTGCCATTAATAAACCAAAAGTTTACTAAATAATAATACTAAATAATATAGCCTATAGCAGCTGTTATTTGAAAATCTAACATATTCACCTAGCTTAATTTAAAAGACATATAATAGGTTTACTAAATAATGCATAGCATATTTATTGTACCCTGTGTATTCATAACACATGTTAATTTAATTAGGCCACATCTTTTCATGTATTTCACAATATCCGTAAACTCGTATAAATATAATATAGGGGCACATTCCTTGTTATTCATATTGCATTATACGGTAATATAATTTTGTTCCTTTTCTTGCACTTTATTTATTCATATGGAGGAATATGCATACTGTATCCTGTGTATGCATAACACATGTTTTATTTAATTAGCATGCTGTCATTATTTTATAGCAAAATGCTAGGTTTCTATAGTTTCAATTTTTAATAAAATAGCTCGTCTGTTTCTGAGATACACATAGTAAATCTTAAACAGCTTTAAACAGTTTTTATTTTGACTTTTTACTACTTTACTATTTTAAATTGTTAATATCTTAACGTATTTCTCGTCACTGCCAAGTTGTTTTGTCGTGTGATTTTTAATGTAATTTTATCCTTCTTAACCAAGACCGCTGCAAAGGAAAAACAAATTCCTATTTTAAAATGGACAATAAATTGTTTTTGAATCAGAATTTTTTTTTTAGGTATCTCACAACATCCGTCAACTTGTATAAATAATAGACCTATAATCATTGTTATTCATATTGCATTATAATGCATTCGTGTTTCTTGCACTTTATTTGTTCATTCATTGAGGAATAAGCATCTCATTTCATATAATTATGGAATTGATAAGAAATTTTAAACAATTTATTTTTATATAATTTTTGCAATACACTGTCTTTCATATTATTTAAAAAACTAATTGTGATTTGGTCATTATTTTTCTATATATAGCATCAGAGTGGCATTAACCTGTGTGATGACTGTACTCGCGAAGGGCCCGGATCGTAACCTAGTTTCACCACTGTGAAGTGGCAGGTTCGAGGGAGGTCCCAGCCGGCGAATGTGCGAGTTATGTTTGATTGCGTCAGAGAAAGTAGAATTTGGCTTACAAACGGAATTCAATGTATACAGTGAATAAATAACACAATAAAGACAAAAGCATTTCTTATAAACATTTGTTTACGATGATAGGACCTATGATCCTACTGAACTACTGGAAAACATGAAGTAGGTAACATGGAAACGGACAAGGAACGCGCCACGGCAATATTTTTTTATAAGCCCCGCTCTCGAATAAGCGCCGCTCTTTGAATAAGCGCTCCACTTAAGCCGCCAAAAATTTTATAAGCGCCGCGGTGCTTATTCGAGCATTTACGGTATATATAACTAGGATTTGCAAACTGTGTGAGACAATATCAGGGACCCAAGATGTGTATAAGAGACAGCTACATGACAAATTATACTATGTAGATAGCACAAATAATGGTCAATATAATACATGAAAAGATATAGTTTCATGTATATAGCGCATTGATGACTTTTGGAGCAAATACGGTAAATATTGAATTAAATTTAAACTCCCTACAAGAAGACCATGAGCACATCAACGTATAATAATAGACGTACTACATACATGTTTTTACTGCTACAAGCATACACATCAAGCCGAACAGAACCAGTCGCAGTGCCATCATCTTTGACTTTGCATTCAGTTGATCTACTCTGCATGAAGTCCAAAATCGACTGCAATACAAACTCCCCGACGTTCGATTATTATTAAATTTTATGCCTGTCTATAAACCAATTCATAGGTCTATTGTTTATTTTTTTCTAATCAAAATAATTGATTTTTAAAAAAGAGTACAATGTTAAACTTAGAAGACGTACTATTCATGTATTGTGGTTTTTAATAAGTTGAATATTTAGTTGAAATTGATAAAAGTCATCTACGAACGATTCAGAACCAGATGAAACGTTATTAAATTATATATTGTAAGGAAACACAATTATATAGGCCTATTCACAATACGACACTTGTGCATTTTGGAAGTTAAGTTTGACTATTTGTCGTCTGTTGAACTTGCCTCATAAATTAATTTAAAATATACATTTACCCTTTTAATTGACAAATTAAAATGTTGCAATTACAGTAATAGTCCATTACAGTTTTACTGAGTTAACGTTTCCATGGTTTCGAGAATAATGATTGACATTTTAATCAAATTTATATTATAAAGTAGGCCCATATTTCAGATGAAAAGTCAAAGCGAGTCGAGTGGTCAAGCGGTAAGACAGGGGCGGCGCTAACCACAGTCTTAACGTCCAGAGTTCGGTTGGTAGAAAGTCTTCTCAGATAAGGACTAAAACTGGAGGTCCAGTGTACACATCTGGCTCATGTTCACTTTAATGAACCCATTGCATTTTCGAGTAGGGCGTTACCCTGATGCTGTAGTCTATTTCAGCCCTTGTCGTTGTGGAATGATGTGAACATGTAGCCACTAAGCGTCTCTTTCGGTAGGTAGTCACGGACCACGCCCATACGCAATTCAGCACGATGAAGCTGCAAGATATGGATTATTCTCCTACCATTACCTTTACTCATCCATTGTTCTTACCTAGATCTAGAGGCTGCATTGTATTGAGTAATCCCCAAAAATCAGTCATGGTGAGTGGGACTTCCTGGTGAAATATTATAAGAAGGAAAAAAGTATTCATCAGCAAATTTACTGGAGTAGATATCTTTTTCTCAGTAGTGCCTGTCCCTCAACATTGTTTGATTGACGGTAGTGCAAACTGTTTCTCAGTCTGTCCACCTATCATCCATATGTCGAAGTTGTCCCTAAACCAAATATTCTTACTCATCAATTTCATTGTTTACGGCTTCGTTCCTTCTAAATGTTTTTATTCTGTCTATATACATATGTGAACCCGGTGATAGGTGGAGAATATATTATGAAACGTTGTTCTATGTACTTGTCAGGAGAAAATATAGTTCTATTTAAACTAGTTTCCATTTCCTCACGTGGGACCATCCAACACTGACAATGTCGATAACTAGGATTTGCAAACTGTGTGAGACAATATCAGGGACCCATTTTCTTTAAAGTTGACCGACTACACACAAAATATGAGAAATCTGGACTCATTTTTAAAATGTGGACCCATTTTTTGTGGAACAAATAGAACAATTGTGTGGGACTGTCCCAACATCTGGCTACGACATTGAACACTGAACAAGATAGATAATGAAATTGCTTTTTTGAAAAGCAATATTCTCAAATACAGTAACTTAGACTGTCTTCTGGTGTATATTTTAATAATCTTTTATATAGTACAGTAGTCAAATAGTTACTTACATTATTAAACAATAATACAATATATGTTATTCAATTTATCTTTTGTCTAGTTTCCATTAACGACTGGTTGGCTTAAAATGATGTAAAATATTGCTATAAACACGTAGATCTATAACTATTAAACGTTTCATAATGATAAGTACCGTAATGAACATAGTGATAGTAATACGGTATTACTGTATTACTATTTGTACAATTTCCATAAGTAGCATAATTATATTTTAGTAATTAAGTACTTTTTCAGTGCAAATAACTTATTATAATTATTTTATGAATAATAATTTTAAAAATGTACGTATATAGGGCATATTGCAATATACTACCTGTATGCGCTTTGGAGTAATACCCCTGGATCAAACACTATGCCATATAAGAAGATTATGAAATGTATGCATATGGTTCGACATTTTCGTAAGACATTTATCATAGCCTATTTAGATACAATTTAAACGCATGCGGTAAAAATACTTCTGGTTGGCTGCTATCTTATAGTCACGACATTAATGAATTCAGTAATACATGCCCCTGATTTGTTGGAAGTATCATTCTATGCCTATAACAACGAAACAAACGCTCACAATAATTACTCTACAGTGATTTGCCTCCTTATTATGACAATTAAACGCGCACACGTTATCATATTAGCCTCACAAAAAAAAAAAACAACCTGTCTTTATCACAATTTTCAAAACAACTCAACACTCAGTACAAAGTTCATTTTTATATGAAGTCGGCTATTCATTGACCATTGACACCTATCTGAAAGTATAACAATCTGAATGTATAATACGAAATATCTATAATGTCTATTTTATATTCATCTACGTCATTATATTTTAGTATTGACAATGGCTATTTCATTAATTATATGGAGAGGTGAAATTATGGTAATTATAAATTCAGACTAGTTGCAATAAATAAACATCAACATATCCAGCACATGTAGGTCTAGTATAGGACATTAATACCCAATTTACAGGTACATGAAATGTAACAACATATAAAAAGTAATCCTGAAATATTACTACTGAGAAAACACAACTCACACATCTCTGAACATGTCGTAATCTTTCTCGGGTAAATATTACGACACTATTGGGAAAACTCAGAGAATTACGGAGATTGGTACTTAAAAAGCTTTCACATGCGCCAATCCTTAAAAAGTTGTTACATTTGACAAAAATCTTATACGTGTGAATTGGATTACTCGGTCTTCGTATAGCAAATTTATGCGGAAACGTATATATTACACATTTTATAGATTTTACCATAGAGTACAAGAAACTGTATAAAGAGACATAATAGATAAAACATATACTCAGGTTACTATAATAGAACGTAATAACATATAACAAGTATCCAATATGAACATTCATTAATTTTTTTGCGTATATTTAATTTAAATACTGAGGACAAGATTATGAATAAACCAAGTAACTTGACAACAATTAGGACATTTTCCTAATAATTATAATAATTTATTGAATCTGCACTTTTGTAACAGTGGCACCTCATCACAGCTCTGAGGTGCGTTCAATACAAAGCAATTATAATCATAAATCTAATATAAGTTTATCCTCTTGTAAAATTCTAATCGGAGAATAATAGTAAAACAATGTTCAAGATACAGAAACGTTAAAACTTAAAGTTGATAATTTTAATATAGGCGTTGGTGGAGGCAACATATATAAGTAGGTATATTTCCAGGCGGTTGAGACACTGCTTTACTTAGTGAAAGAATAATTATGGTGTATTCTTCATTTCGTTGTTGATGTACTCGCTACCTTTTAAGCAGTAAGTAAACCTGGTACGCGGCTGCCTTTAATCCAGGTACGTCATAACCCATTGGAAGACGCTGGTTTCCTAGCCATCGATGCGCTTTGCAACAGATCAGGTCCCACTCTGCTTTAAGGTTTGAGCAACTATGATGAAGCCATATTATAGCTAAGGCAGTGCCCCACAATCGCTGCTCCAAATCCACGTCTGGCGTAAAAACTCCACCAGACTCCCAAGTGTTTGTATTCGGTGACCTCGAATCCGTCAACGGTGCTGCAGAACTCCTTGAGGGTATACCTGTGCTAAGAAGCAGAGAAGAGTTTGTTTGCAAATCGGGGGATGTGTCTGCAGATAAAAATGATCTGTATCCACTATCAGAAGTCCGAATCTCACTGCCAAAAACAGAGTCATGTAAATCGGAACCATCTTTCACGAATGAATCTCGTGTGCATTGGCATTCTAGCCGACTGTCTACCATACACAACGGCGATGCGTTCCGTAGTTTTTCAAGTGGAATCTCCATTATGTCTGCAAGATGTATATTCAAGTTCCAGGCTCCACAAGCTAATTGTTGTTCAACTATTGAGAACAGCTCAACACATTCAAGACTTGCTGTACGTGCACGCGTGTTCTGGATATTCGCGAATATTGGACGTTTTGTTGGTGTACCAAGGCGTCGGCGAATCTTTCCCAGTTTGGCACCAATATTTGCAAACTTTGGCCTTGGTATTGGGATGTTTATACTTGAAATCGGCTTGTACAAAGATTCTAGTGGAATTTAAAAACAAAATTAATTTTAAGCAATGACAGTATAACATCAAAAAAAAAATTAGCTTACAAATATATATGGAACTTGTGACTTGAATTTAATTGTAATTTATCAGTTTGGCATGCTTGCAGATACTCATGCTACAAGCTATCACATAGGAGTAAAAATCTAAGGAGTTTCAAATGTTACATGCACCGCTGCATCTAATTCACAGCTATAGAGGACGGTAAAGGGTGTTGCATAATGATTTGGAAATTAAGAATTTGAAGATTACTAAAGTAATTATATTTGTATCTCTCGATTTTAAGCTATCCCAACATTTTGATGTCCTGGGGCATTTAACACGGTGAATGAGAAAACTTGGAAAATGTAGGAAATAGGGACATCACAGTGGGATGGCAAGTGTGCTCTATACAAAGTGAGGACGAGTCGAAATGTTAGAATATTAATTTGTTAAATCGTGTTTCATTAGTGCACATGGGTAGGTATTTTTTCATGTGGTTTACACACACGGAACAACAAACGTATACACAAATGATAATAGATAATAACAACAATAAAGTATAATAATAAATAAAATGTAAAATTAATTACTGACGTCATTACATTCAATAAAGAACACGTATGTAGCTAGTAGACTACACAATCAATTTAATTATCTTAAAAATTCGAAGAAATGTTTTGAGCACTGATTGAAAATAGTAAGTCTTACTGATTGAAAATTATAAGTCTTATTCGTGTAACGGTCAATGGTATTAATAACGAAATTAATAAGGATAATAAAGATAATGATGACGATGATGATGATAATGTTGTTGTTGATATGATTATGATGACCAAAATAATAAGATAATTAGTAAGTACAGTAACTTATAAGAAAGAAATACATGGACCTGTGATATGATTATAATATGAAGTCATAACATTATTTTACATCCAACATTAGTACTAAAAAGAATTTATAAATCGGTATTATTTAACTTTTACTTTTTATTGCAAGTAGAATTTTTTAATTAGCAAGAGCGTTCTGAGCATATTTAATAATTAGGCCTATGTTTTCTTTTTTACTTCAGAGCGAATGAGTATTCTTTCGTGTCATGAGCTTACGTACATTGTCTTCAAAATCAATTTCTACGTCGAATAAATTGTCATTTACTGTATGTCTGTTGTAAATTTGGAATGTCGAATTATAAACAATTTCAAATTGAATATGATGGTAATTTTTGTTTGGTTAATTATAAACTATAAAGTACCTGTAACAAATATCACATTTCAAACAATTTAATTTTAAACAACTAATCAATAATTATTATTATGTTTTATGGATACAGTATTGAAGCTGCTATTATAAAAGGAAACACAAAGCTTTCATTAAATTACTGTGTACACAGTCTTTTTACAGCGCCACCAGCACTGAAAACAATGAATCTTTAGTCTCTAGTGGAGCTGTTGATTTGCTGTCAATAACAAAAGCGGCGTGGAACACAACGTTCTGAAGAGAGTAATTTAAAGCATAGCAGGAAGTAAAAGTTAATATTTGCGTTATCAAAAGATAATGTAGAATACGTTTATAGTTGTAATAATGCTTAGAGTTTACAGAAATAGATAATAGATGTATATGATAATTAGTAGGGTATTTGTTAAACAACACTTTTAACTGCAATGGAAGCTTGACAAACACAAAAAAGGCATGTCACTCACTACTGTTAGATGTCAGGTCATATATACGACCCTTTTGGGATACGTAGGCTCCGTTCCAGCGTACTGGTTCTGATATTGTGGAGCCAACTGGACTTGGAGGCCGACCTATGTAAGGGAACACAAAATGCACACTGAAGAGATACACGACATAGAAGTATTGAAGCATGAGTTTAACTTAAAAGATAGAGAAACGACGAAGTTATTTGAAGAAGCAAACTATTGACACATCAATATTCACAAATTTCTGTTAATTGTGGAATAGAGAGATATTAAATGTAAGACCGACCCATATCTCATTGCATTTTAAAACTCCTGAAAGAGACAATAAATTTTAGTACTTCTACAGTAGCTACTGTTGCTGCGAATGACTATTTTGAATTAATAAAGCATTATATATTATTTTCGTCTGAAAGGTAGTACCGCTAGCTCAAAGGCCTACTTACATTTGTGTTTACTTTCTTGAGGGCAGTATAACGGAATTTAAATATAAATACTGTAAATGCGTTTCCCACACTCAGCGCCAATTTTCATATACAGTATTGAAATAGTTGGAATATTATGCAACAAAAAGACTCATACATTTAAGTTGTTTTAGCCACGATGTTTTAGTGTTAGAAAGAACATGGATTACATGGATTGAGTAAGGAATAAACACAGCTAACAGCCCAGGACAGATTTTTTGGGGATACATCGAATGAGTGGGCTTAATAATGTCATGAAACCTTACATAAAATCTTTAAAGATTGCTGTTAAAATATACGTTACCATGTAATACCTATCCTCCGAATTTATTTTTGTCACTTCTACCAGATATTTATAGGACGGTGAACCAAAATAATAAAACTGTAATGCTGACACTCTCATTTTCATACAGTTAAAAGTCTTCGATATACAGAAGAAAGGATATTTGATAGATTTTTGCTATTTTATTTATTATTATTAGTAAATTTCATTAAAATCAATATGTTTACTGATAATTTGCAGGAGATATAGTTTTCACAAATCATATTCCCAACCAATAACGGGAAGCTGGAGATGGATAATGAAAAGGAAAGATCTACAACATCAAAATGCGAACATGAAGCTTTGGTGTATCATTGCAAAGGACAACAGCATCACAGCAAAAGCATTTTAGAACTAAAAAGCATTCTTTAATCTAAGCTGAAGATGAAAATTAAATAAATATAGATAATTACTTTATTATCATTGAATTTGGTAATTAATTACGTACCGCATTTTTATTTTCTTGCTGTAATTAAATTTTGTTTTTAATTTATTATATTTAAAATGAGAACTCATACTTCAAGTTAAGCTCAGATTATAGAAAATACGTACACATGTCACGTGATCTGTTGTAACCGATTGCATTGCATTTGAATCACGTTATGTGCTGAACTAAACATACATTCAAGCAATGTAGAATACATGCGTCATGCATACCTTCTACTTCGAAGCCTGATATCCAAGTCAAGACTGTTAGTTATCAGGAAAGAATAGATAGTAAAATACTTTCAACAAATTTACAAAACATTACCAAACCACTGTGTATCAAAATGTTGAACTATTGTATCATGTGAGAAATGGAGGTACTTGAACGTACAAAGCTTGAGGATACATTGAATCAAATGTAGTTTTCGTTTGATCATATCCGGAATGTACGACGTCACACTGGCGTCTGTCCAATTAAACCATTTTATTAAATTAAATTGATGTATATATATATATATATTTATGTCTAATTGTGCTGTAAATTGTTGTATTACATTCCAAGACTTTGAATATCTACATTTGTCAAGTTGATAGTTTGCTATGCAAAATAGCAGCGTGTCGATACATTATAACAAATTTCAGGAAACAAAATGCAAATTTATATGATTAATAGAAAACGAATACTGTATAGTTTTAATACGATTTAAACCAAGACAAACATTCGTAATATATATCATAAACAATTATTTGTCACTTATGCACTGATTAACTTTGATATAATTTGTTTTATTTTATATAATCGTTTGTGGAAAATGAATGAGGATTGTGTATACCTGTCACCTATTATAACTTAATGTATGTGCAATCTATTATACACGTGAACATAAATGTTCTTTCTATAACATGAACACTACACTAACAATTAACACTTTCCACAAATGTATCAGATTAAATAGAGTAATAAAGGATTTTACACATAATTAAAAACTATAATGCTTTAGAGAGTGCGCCACCTGTCGACTATTCTTGTGAATTGGATCTCATTCGTGTCTGAGCTTAGGCCTACTATTGGCTACAGTGTGCGACTTGAAATAAAATGATTAGAACAGATAATGAGAAAGCGCTACCGGGCAAACTGTAACATTCATATCCGATAAATGTGCATGGATGCATTGTAAATTTACAAATAGGCCCTATATTGTATATACATCGCAACGAATGTTTTACATTAGACAGTACAAAATGCAGTGAAATGTCGCGTGCATCATTTCGTTTTAGAAAATTTAGAAAGTTACAGATTAAAAAATTCAATTTTAGATGATCTCGGTTGCAATGAATATGCTTAAAATTAATGGAAAGTGAATATATGTACGATTTAGAAATCTTACCATAACCAGATGAAAATGCATCGTCTTCAGATTCGGTAAACGAGTTCGAAAATTTACCACCAAAACCACTGGAATAACTTTGATGGTTGGAGTGCCTTCTTGTAGTGCACTGCTTTACTGCTTTCGAGTTCGGTTGCACCTGTTAGTATAAAATACCGACATTATTTAAAATTTCCCATTTCCTAAATTAGTAATAATAATAATAATAATAATAATAATAATAATAATAATAATATATTTTGAATAATAATTTAATTAATTAATAATGTAAACATAATCTGTCACAAGACCAGCGTGGTTGTAGTTGCGCTAGTCAGTGCATGTCTTCATCATTCCCCAAAGTATGACGTTGATTGGTCAAACAACGAAGCAAAACTATTTTAATTAATAGATTCTAAATAAACACCGGTGTATGTTACACCATGGAAATAGTAATATATATATATATATATATATATATATATATATA